GTGTCGTCACAGTACTTGGGCTGCGCGCTCGGGACATCCATGTCCCTTCGAAGGCCCCTGTAATCTGTTGGAGAAATAAAATCATTTATATATCCTATCTTTGGCGGCAAAATCTCGCCGTGACCTGTGGAACTCCCCCACTTCCGGGTTTCGACGACTGTGTACGTGCGTGATTACGTCATCATATTCAAATGTATCTTTATTGTCCATATCAAACTGCACACGAACAAGGGGTGTAAATGAAAAGTCAATGTTTAATTGGTAAAATCCGTGATGAGGAGGACCCCAAGATAATATTGTTAATAACCATGATATGATTATATATATTTTTAAGTATTAGACTGTGACAGACCATGGATGATAGATAGTTAATAGTTAACAAAAGATTTAATGATCAGTGGGCTAGATAGGAGGTAACCCCACCTGGGGAAAAAAATCATAAAATAGATTAAATGATATATCATAAATATTGTATCCTCATACTGCTGGAAAGTATTAATGACTAAACAGTGCCAAAGTAAAGAACAGCATAGAAAGGTGTACTCCTACTGGGGACAATATATAAATATATAAATATATAAATATAAAGATATTAAGATATCTTGGCTGCCAATGTGAAGGAATCTATAAACATATATATATAAATAATTGTAAATAGAATATACATCTTGTATCAAAAATGATTTAAAGAGACAATAAGAAAAAATATATAATTAGAGAAATGGAGAAAAAAATATAAACAATTGAAAAAATAATGAAAAAATTAAAAAGTAAAAAAATATGAAAAATTAGAAAATTTAGTGATATATGACACTCTGCACATGTAACTCACCGGTAATGTAATAACTCTCAGTGATCCTGGGCTGTGCATGTGAGGGACCCTGCTGTATACACAGGTGGCGGACCCAGAAGGGTCATAGGACAGCGATCCAGAGCGACGGACCAATAATGGTCTAGAGAGGAAACTGTAAGGAGCGCAAAAGGGGGTAAAGAAAACCAACATGAGCCAATAATGCGAATAGTGAACCATATTACAGAAAATGTTTCAGGTCATAGTCCTCATTGAGACCTAATGGTGACAACGTTTCCAAGGTACTGATCCATTTGGTTTCCCTTTGGAGTAAGAGTTTCTGTCTGTCTCCACCTCTGCGTAGTGGTGGAATTCTATCTATAACTTGGAACCTTAATTGGTTCACATTATGGCCACAAGTTTTAAAATGTCTTGGTACTGGTGCTTCAACAGCATCATGCTGTAATGCTGCCCTAATGCTCCTCTTATGTTCCCCTATCCGTTCTTTGACCGGCCGAATAGTCTCCCCCACATACAGGAGACCACACGGACACTTGAGTATGTACACAACAAAATCTGAGTTACAAGTGTAGAAGTCCTTCACAAAAAACTTTTTACCAGATCGGGGGTGAACGAAATATTCCCCCTTGATCACACTGCTACAATGTGAGCAATTAAGGCAAGGGAAAGTGCCTTTCTTTGGTTCCGAAAACAAGTTAGATTTTTTTCGGAACCAAAGAAAGGCACTTTCCCTTGCCTTAATTGCTCACATTGTAGCAGTGTGATCAAGGGGGAATATTTCGTTCACCCCCGATCTGGTAAAAAGTTTTTTGTGAAGGACTTCTACACTTGTAACTCAGATTTTGTTGTGTACATACTCAAGTGTCCGTGTGGTCTCCTGTATGTGGGGGAGACTATTCGGCCGGTCAAAGAACGGATAGGGGAACATAAGAGGAGCATTAGGGCAGCATTACAGCATGATGCTGTTGAAGCACCAGTACCAAGACATTTTAAAACTTGTGGCCATAATGTGAACCAATTAAGGTTCCAAGTTATAGATAGAATTCCACCACTACGCAGAGGTGGAGACAGACAGAAACTCTTACTCCAAAGGGAAACCAAATGGATCAGTACCTTGGAAACGTTGTCACCATTAGGTCTCAATGAGGACTATGACCTGAAACATTTTCTGTAATATGGTTCACTATTCGCATTATTGGCTCATGTTGGTTTTCTTTACCCCCTTTTGCGCTCCTTACAGTTTCCTCTCTAGACCATTATTGGTCCGTCGCTCTGGATCGCTGTCCTATGACCCTTCTGGGTCCGCCACCTGTGTATACAGCAGGGTCCCTCACATGCACAGCCCAGGATCACTGAGAGTTATTACATTACCGGTGAGTTACATGTGCAGAGTGTCATATATCACTAAATTTTCTAATTTTTCATATTTTTTTATTTTTTTACTTTTTAATTTTTTCATTATTTTTTCAATTGTTTATATTTTTTTCTCCATTTCTCTAATTATATATTTTTTCTTATTGTCTCTTTAAATCATTTTTGATACAAGATGTATATTTCTATTTACAATTATTTATATATATATGTTTATAGATTCCTTCACATTGGCAGCCAAGATATCTTAATATCTTTATATTTATATATTGTCCCCAGTAGGAGTACACCTTTCTATGCTGTTCTTTACTTTGGCACTGTTTAGTCATTAATACTTTCCAGCAGTATGAGGATACATAATTTATGATATATAATTTAATCTATTTTATGATTTTTTCCCCAGGTGGGGTTACCTCCTATCTAGCCCACTGATCATTAAATCTTTTGTTAACTATTAACTATCTATTATCCATGGTCTGTCACAGTCTAATACTTAAAAATATATATAATCATATCATGGTTATTAACAATATTATCTTGGGGTCCTCCTCATCACGGATTTTACCAATTAAACATTGACTTTTCATTTACACCCCTTGTTCGTGTGCAGTTTGATATGGACAATAAAGATACATTTGAATATGATGACGTAATCACGCACGTACACAGTCGTCGAAACCCGGAAGTGGGGGAGTTCCACAGGTCACGGCGAGATTTTGCCGCCAAAGATAGGATATATAAATGATTTTATTTCTCCAACAGATTACAGGGGCCTTCGAAGGGACATGGATGTCCCGAGCGCGCAGCCCAAGTACTGTGACGACACCTTGAGGGAGACATACGAGGATCACATCTGACACCTTCATTGAGTCCTCTTTTCAACGCACAGCAGGAATTCAGCAGGTTTAAAAACCCTCCAATAGATACTTTTCCATTCTTCACAGAGTCTTCATTTTTTCCAGTTGCTACTAAGGCTACAATCCATCTGGATATCCAACTTGGTGAGATCCACCTATTTATTATCTACAAGTGCACTATTCTCTGGACTATTGTACATCAGGACATTTATTATCTGTATATTTTTTACATATTTTTTCAATTTTTTCATCATTTTTGTAATTTTTTTCAGTTTTTCTTCTTTTTTCTCTTTTTTCTTTTTTCTTTTTTCTATGTACATAGAACACCACAGATTCGACTATTATCCATATGGATAGGTTCTCCTTAGTTTTGCAAACAGAAATACTTACAACTGTGTTTATACATTAATTATTTATTTATATAACACCTATGGAGGTTATTTGTGTAAATAGCGATTGACTATATGATGTAATATATTCTTTTGATCAAATCATAATCTCACATATTAAGTTATATAACTATACATTAAAGAATTGAACATAATAAACTCAATTATAGCACTTCTTTACCTACGGTTGATTATTTTACAACATTGAGTGCGGTATTCATATATATTTTTTGTATGATATTTTTGGGGCTTTTGTAGGGATAACCTCGAATACCAGCACCACCTATGTGATTGAGTGCCAGCATAAATTATCTTTTTGTATCTAATTGCACTAGTCTGGACAGAGTGTGTGATATACATCATTTTTTTTCTTTTTACCTGACATAACTATAACTTGTTATAATTGCAATTAGAGTAGTGACATAAATGGCAATAATAATAATAAAGCATTTATGTTTCTAGTACCTTCATAATACTTTTCGTCAAGCTTTTACTACAAAATGTTAGTAGAAAAAACACAAAATATGTTATCAAAAGTAGCCCAGACAAAGTGTACATTTTGACAGGCTTAAACTAAAAACCAAAATGTTAACTTTTTATATAGATGGTTGTGTATTAAAATACATTGTAGGCAGTACAGCAAAGTACAAAAATAGTTTTCATTAAGATATCAGCATTTGCCAAAATAAATATAGGACTGCAAATAATAAAATTTCAAAACTGGTTTTATAATTTTGAAATGTCCTATTTGTACTTTTTAAATAGGTTTAAAGGTTTTCCAGAGTAAGCAAGACCAAACTACAATGAATGAAAATCAAACAAAATTGACAGAATTCCTCATTTTAGGATTATCGAACCTTCCCATCCTCAAGATTTTTCTGTTTTTTGTTCTACTTCTTATCTATGTGTTGACTCTATCAGGTAATATTGCCATCATATTGGTATCAAAATTGGATAATATTCTTCACACGCCTATGTATTTCTTTTTGAGTAACTTGTCTTTCCTGGATATTTGTTATACAACAACCACCATGCCCAAAATGTTACAAATTCTTCTAATGGAAAGAAAATCCATTTCATTTAATAGTTGTATTTCTCAAATGTATTTTTTTATGGCCTTTGTGGGCACAGAGTGTGTTTTGCTTGGCGTTATGTCCTATGATCGCTTTCAAGCCATTTGCAATCCTCTAAGATATTCTGCCATTCTGAACAAAAAACTTTGCATTAGTCTTGCAGGATTTTCGTGGCTGAGTGGATTTTTGAATTCTTTAATCCATACCATCTTCACATTAGATTTAAATTTTTGTGGTTCAAAACAAATTAATTATTTTTATTGTGATTTACCCCCTCTACTCTCCATGTCTTGTGATGATACATTTGTTAATGAAGTCTTGTTATTGTCCGTTGCAGTTTTTATAGGGTATACACCGTTTTTTGGAATCATTGTTTCATATATATGCATTATAAAGGCTATACTAAGAATCAAATCCACTGAAAGAAGACAAAAAGTTTATTATACCTGTGTCTCCCACATTACTGTGGTAATTTTATATTATGGTAGCACAATTTCCAGTTATGTAAGGCCTGTATCCACGTTCTCTGTGGGTAAGGATAAGCTAATATCTGTTCTGTACAGTGTGGTGACACCAATGCTGAACCCACTAATATATACATTGAAAAACAAGGATGTAAGCAAGGCAATGTATAGGCAGTTTATCTCTATGAAATTATTTAAGACAGTTTAACCCCTGCAAAAAACAATAAAGCATTATTTTGTAAATACCGGACCTCAATAATTAGCAAACTACAAACACGAACCTTGGTTGTCCACTAAAAACAAACAAAACAAGCGTTGAAAATATTGACAGGATTATATAAGAAATAGAGCTTTTGCATGATCACAAACTCATGTATCAAATTTCAAACTAAAACAAAATAATGCAGAATAATTGGAAATGTAGACACAGATGCTTTAATAGCACTTGGAATTAAATGTAAAGTAACATGCATGAAATCTAAATCATTAATTGTAATATGTTCTTATTTGTTCAACAGAAAATAAGCTTATAATAAAGTAATCATTTTGTAAAACAAGTTTTGTGTTAACGTGTTCTTACTTAAACTTGTATGCAATACATGCAGAAACACTTTGCAATTATTATTAATATTACTATTGCTATATTTCCAATAGACACAGTAAGCACCTGTCTATATGGCAATGCCCACTAGGTGGTGCCTACAGTCTTATAAAATAAAGTGCCTTTTTGGAGCTTAAGTATACTGGTGGGGAGAGAAGTATTAGGAACCTTGGCTAGTGTTGTCTTTAGCCCTTTCCACCTCCTATGCTTGATAACAGAACTGCATGAACTGTTTTAGAAGGGGTAAAGCTCAGTTCTATTCCAGAATTTCCAGTATCTGTGTGTTAGACAGGAAGTGAAATGCATAATTTCCTACCTGCCAACTAAAACATACCTCCCAACAATCTCACCGGAATAATAGGGATGTGATGGATCACCACTAACAAGGCCCATACTGGTGGTCACCATCAATGCCCATACTAGGTGGGCCCAAGGAAAAGCAGTTTGGTCAGCCCCAAGCCACTGCTGAAGTGCTCCCTGCATTGTCCTAATGCCTGCTTCACACCTTGAGTACCTCCAATGATGTGCTCTTGCTGTGCTGGCAGAGAATAGTTCCCTGGTGTTCCCAGATGAGGGACACTAGGGGATTAAGGTGGGATGGCACTAAAAGTCTCTCACACAGGAAGTGCCTTGCAGAAGAGGCAGGGACAGCATTGAGTGACGCACATTGTATAGGAGAATGACTGCATTACAGAAGGCATAGGACAGTGAGTACTTTACAAATAAACCTTCAAAATCCATGTGCCCTAAACACCATTTTCCCTCACACAAATCATCAATCATTTGGTAAAACAAGTTTTGTGTTAACACATTCTTACTTAAACCTTTATGCAATACATACTGAAACACCAATTTTAAAGATTGCATATTCTCAATTTATCATTCACTTGATTTCATGCAAGCAAACTATAAGTTTGAGTACTATTTACCCGCTGGTAGCACTAGCAGCCAGCAGGCAAATAGTTAAATAACCATTAATTAATTAACTATGTGGCTGACAGTGCTACTAGCCAGCTGTCACATTAAATATATAAAATAAATAAAAAGTCTATGGGGGTCAATAAAATACCCATATTACCATAAGGGAGGTTTAACCTAGAGAGCATGTATACTAAACTTTTAAAACTAGCAACTGAACAGCCATTGTTGCACAGTCACTTGTGATATAGTCCCACCCATGGGCATCAGGTTGGGGGCCTTGCGTTGGTAATAGGGGATGGACAGATTACGCTCATTTACTACAAAATTAATCAGAGAGCTCTGAGTTTACATTAACTATTTGAAATTGTCTCACTTGATGTATTAAGCTTGCATAGTGTGGGAAATCCTCTGTAATAATATGATATTACTAGAAATCCTATCTAAAAGCCAAATACCATTGGAACACAGTCAGCCCAAACAATTGTGCAGAAACCGCCCAAACGCATTCTGTGTCTAAATTGCAAATATACTTTCACATTCAAATCCTATACAAAAGTGTAGGATTCAGAGGATTCACAAATAATACAAAATAATTGGATATTTATTGATGTAGACAAAGATGCTTTTTTTAATGCATGAACTTCAATTTAATTAAACATGCATAGAATCTAAAACATTAATTTTAATATGTTCTTTTTTTTTGTTGTTTAATAGAGGATAAGATAATTATAAATGAATCATTATGTAAAATAAATTTTACAAAGATGTGTGGGGGCCATGGAGATTTATTATATCCCTACCCGCTGACAGTGACCTATCCACACCCTATGACTTATTTAAAAGTCCACTGCCTGATGCCTATGGATAGGCCAAGACTGGCTATCAGGCAAACTGGGCAAATGCCCGTTGAGCAACAATGGACATATGCCGAGGCAATAATTTCCCCTGCCGGCCCTAACCAAGCCCCAGCTTTGCTGTGTGCCTTTACAGGCCTGTGGCCCTCACTGGTTGACTGGAACTTCACTATGGAGAATAAGGGAATTGGACCTGGGAGGCTGAATGTTCCTCCTGCAAGCTGGCAGTTAATTTAGTCGACTAACAATTTTAGTCAGACTAACATTTTTTAGATTTAGTCGACTAAAACTGACTAAAAATCAAACAATTCAGATGACTAAAATATGACTAAAACTAAAATGGCTTTTTAATTAAAATACTGACTAAACCGAAATAGAAATCTGCTGCCAAAATAAACACTGGCATCCGGCAAAATTAACACATGGGGCAAGTAGGAGAAGAAATGAGACACATGGGGTGCTGAGAGAATGAGACACATGGGAGACTGCGGCATTTAAACACAGGGGCACTAGGGGGTTGAGACACATGGGTGTGTTGGGAGATTAGGATACATGGGGGGCTGGGAGAATTAGAAAAATAAGGGGGCTGGTAGATTAAGACACATGGGGGGGCAGGAAAGGAATTGAGACACATGGGCGGCTGGGTTAATTAGACACTGGGGGGGTTGAGATGCATGGAGGGGCTGGGGGTACACAAAGCGACATAGAGGTGTTGTGGGAGAAAGATGGTGCCTGGGGGGGATAGACACACATATGGGGAAAGAGCCACACAGAGGGGCTGGGAGGGGGCAAAGAGCCAAAGAAGTGCTGTGAAAGGGGCAAAAAACTGAGACACTCAGAGGGACTGGAGGGAAGTGCTGGGGGCCTCGTTTAGGTTGCCAGGAGGCTGGAGGGAGCCTCACAATTTGGTGCCTCTATGCCGTGCCCCTCCATTCAGGCCCCACCTCCATTACTCAACCCCCACCCCTCACAAGCTCTGCCCCTACACTCACGCTGCTGACCTCACCAGAGGGAAGAGGACAGACTTTGCCTCCCAGTGCTCCCAGTCTCCCACAGCTTTATTAATACATGGAGTTAAATTTCATTAAACATGCAGCCCATGAGGGTGATTGATTTTGTGTGTTTCTGTGAGTGTGTGTGTGCCTGATAGTGAGTGAACCTATATGTGTGTGTGTGCCTGATAGTGAGTGAGCGTGTGTGTGTTAGGGAATTTGTAATGAGCATGTGTGTGTCAGTGAGCTTGTCTGTAGTGAGCATGGGTGTCAGTTAGCCTGACTGTAGTGAGCATGTGTGTGTGTGTCAGTGAGCTTGTAGTGAGCATGTGTGTATGTGTGTCAATGAGCTTGTCTATAGTGAGCATGTGTGTGTGAGTTTGTAGTGAGCATGTGTGTGTCAGCAAGCATGTCTGTAGTGAGCATGTGTGTGTCAGTGACCGTGTCTGTAGTGAGTATTTGTATATGTGTCAGTGAGCTTGTGTGTGTCAGTGAGCTTTACTGTAGTGAGCATTTGTGTGTGTCAGTGAGCCTGTCTGTCGTGAGCGTGTGTGTGAGACAGTAAGTTTTGTAGTAAGTTTGTGTTTGTATACCAATTGGTTTGACTGTAGTTTGTGTTTGTGTACCAGCAAGCTTGTCTGTGTGTATCAGTGAGATTGTCTGTCAGTGAGCCTATTTGTGTGTATCAATGAGCTTGTGTTTTTATGTCAATGAGTTTGTGTATCAATGAGATTGTTTCTCTGCTTGTGCGCTTGTGTCAGTGAGATTATCTGAGTCTGCATGTGAGTCTGCTTACTGTATAATTCATTTTTTCTCACTGACTGAATCAATATTTTAATTAGGCAAATTAACATACAAATAATACATATTTATAAACACACACACACACACACTACATGCTACAATGACTCATGGCGCTGGCATACAATTTTTTCCAGGGCTGCTTTCTATCCCCAGTACACCCCTGCAAAAAGAATCCGAGCATTGCTGTCATTACAATTATTCCCACCCCACCCCTATGGAAAAATTCCTGCGGACGCCCATGCCTGCATGCTGGATCCCCTTTAGACACACACTGCACCACTTAGAAACACACTATATTCCTTACATGCACACTACATCCCCTATACACACTCTGGATTCTGTATACACACGATACCCTGTTCCAAATTATTATGCAAATTTTATTTAAGTGTCACAAAGATTAAATATTTTGTTTTTCAGTTTAACTCATGGATGGCATTGTGTCTCAGGGCTCTTTTGAACACTGAAAACTATCTCGGACACCTGTGATAATTAGATTTCCCCGTTGAGCCCAATTTAAGGAAAAACTACTAAAGGAGGTTGTTCCACATTATTAAGAAGAGCACCATTTTCATGCAATATGGGGAATAAAAAGGATATCTCTCCTGCCGAAAAGAGTGAAATAGTTCAATGCCCTGGATGAGGTATGAAAACATTAGATATTTCACGAAAACTTAAGCGTGGGCATCGCACTATTAAGAGATTTGTGGCTGATTCAGAGCACAGACAGGTTCGTGAAGATAAAGGCACATTGAGGAAGATTTCTGCCAGATCCATGCATCGGATCAAGACAGCAGCTGCTAAAATACCATTACATAGCAGCAAACAGATATTTGAAGCTGCTGGTGCCTCTGGAGTCCCACGGACATCAAGGTGTAGAGTCCTCCAGAGTCTTGCAACTGTGCATAAACCTTCTATTCGTCCACCACTAACCAATGCTCACAAGCAGAAACGGCTGCATTGGGCAGAAAAATACATGAAGACTAATTTTCAAACAGTCCTGTTCACTGATGAGTGCCGTGCAAGCCTGGATGGTCTAGATGGATGGAGTAGTGGATGGTTGGTGGACGGCTACCCTGTTCCAACAAGGCTGCAACGTCAGCAAGGCAGTGGTTTAGTCATGTTTTGGTCCGGAATCATGGGAAGAGAGCTGGTCGGCCTCTTTAGGGTCCTCGAAGGTGTAAAGATGACCTCTGCAAAATATGTGGAGTTTCTGACAGACCACTTTCTTCCCTGGTACAGAAGGAAGAACTATGCTTTCCGTAATAAAATCATCTTCATGCATGACAATGCACCATCTCATGCTGCAAAGAATACCTCTGCATCAATGGCTGCTATTGGGATAAAAAGAGAGAAAGTCATGGTGTGGCCTCCATCCTTCCCTGACCTCAATCCTATTGAGAACCTTTGGAGCATCCTCAAGCAAAAGATCTATGAGGGTGGGAGGCAGTTTACATCCAAACAGCAGCTCTGGGAGGCTATTCTGACATCTTGCAAACAAATTCAAACAGAAACTGTCCAAAAACTCACAAGTTCAATGGATGCAAGACTTGTGAAGCTGCTATCAAATAAGGGGTCCTATGTTAAAATGTAACGTGACCTGTGAAAATGTTTAAAAAGTTAAAATGTTGTTATAAATTTGATTGAAATAGCTTTTGATTTCAGTAAATATGCTGCAAACACAACAAATTACAATTTTCAGTTCTTTACAATCTATAAAGTGTTTTGAAATTTACTGTGCGTAATAATTTGGAACAGTGCAATGTAAGTTTTTTATGTTTAAAAAAATACTGTTATCATTAGGAGGTTTGTTCAATAAAATTTGAATTGTACTCTTAATAGTTGTTAACATGAGAATTATGCTAACTGTTATTTACATCAATTATTTAAGTAAATGAGAAAAATATAATTTGCATAATAATTTGGAACAGGGTGTAGATCCACTGTACTCAAAACACACACTACATTCCCTAAATACACACTCTCTTCTGTACTTACACACACTGTGTCACCTATACACCCATTAACTACATCTATATGTACAAATTTGCTGCATCCCCTACAGACACTATGCTCTCTATGCACACACAACAGCATATACATACATTCCCACAGCAGTCTGTGTGGACAGGTAAAGTTGCTAACAGTTTAACTGATATGCAGCCATAGAGAAGTTTTGAAGGTGGGAGTCAGAAAAGCGAGTACAAACAGAGGATAGCTAAAGGTCTTTAGCAGAGCATAGGTGCCTGAATGGGACACACTTGTGTATTAGAAGACAGATCACATGTTCAGACAAGTTCAACTTTAAATACAAATTTAAGGTATTAGCGAGGATTGGTAATTAGGAGCAGTGTTATTGAGAGATTTATAAATAAGTTCTGTCATTTTAAATTGAGCCCTATGGCTTATGGGAGGATTGATAGAGGCGGGAGGCATGGGAGATATGAAGATGAACCTTATTGCAGAATTAATTATACAGTGTAGCTGGGAAAGCTGGCAAGTGCCAAGATTTGGTGATTAAGTAGAAACAAGGGGTAAAAGAGAGGTTAGTTTGAAAGAGAACACAAACTTGTGATGTAGAACTGATGGTAATGCCATTAACTTGGTGGGATACAGACATGGTGATAGTTTAAGGAAGTGAGCAGCCATCCACTTAGAAATAGCAGAGAAGTAGTGGCAGTCTAAAACATTAATTAACAGCTACAGTGAGAGATCAGGAGAAGATAGATACATTTGTGTGTCATCTGCATAGCAGGGATATTGGAAGTAAGTGATGCGTTTACAAAAGGAGGCTGTATAAATTGAGCACAATGGGGAATCAAGGATTGACCTTTTGGGACCACCAAAGGGGTTGAGAGGTAAAGAAGAGCAAGAAAAAAAACACTGAAAAAGCACTGGGAGAGGAAGAAGAATAATAATTAGATAGCAGAGTCTTGTAGACTGGGGTTACAAAGGTTGAGCATAGGTTGGTTATGATCAATGGTATTAACTGCAGCAGAGAAGATGAAGAGAATTAGAAGAGCGTTATGAAAACAGTATTCAGAAGCAATTAAATAACTGGATACTTTGGTCAGGGCTGTTTTGACAGAGTGACAAGCACAGAAACCAGACTGAAGCGGTCAAGCAGAGAGTTAGATTCAAGGAAGTTGATTAATCTTGTGTACACAACTTTCTCAAGGATCTTGGAGGCAAATGCTAGTAGTGAGAAAGGGCAGTAGCTGTATGAGGAGTTTGGGTCGAGGGTGGGCTTTTTTAAAATCAGGGTTTTGGTTTCATGCTTGAAGGGTGAATATACAACAGGAGAGTGAGAGATTGAATATTTTAGCAAGTGGCAGAGCAAGAGAAGGAGACAGAGTGAAAATCAGAAGTACCCTGACACACACCTGAGAGGGAGCTTTGCAGCCTCCCATTTAAAAAGGGGGCACTCTGATACCACTAGCCAATGCAGTCCAGGTCAGAAACTTGTAGATACAGCTAACATTCCAACCAGACCAATAACCACTAAAGGGCCCCTGAACTGGACCAGTACCATGCCAGGGTACTATATGTACTTCCTGATGGCAACCCTGTGTACTGGTGTTGTTGCTTAGAGTACCGCTTTAATGCTGAATAATAATATTATTAATAATATTAGTATCAACACTATTTGACGTATTTTAAAAATAGTGAAGGCCATTGTTACTTTCCTGGTTAAATATTTTAATAACTTGATCACTGTGATTATTAATAAGACCTAAACTGAAACAAACAGGTTGAGATCATTAATTATGAAGAACATCTAATTTCCACTTTATCACATGGATTCCCCCAGGGAAGTAATTATCCTCAAAAGACTAGAATATAAGCAGTATTCTTAAGCAGTTTTTAAAATCAAATGCATTGTGCACAATGATAGCCACAAGTCTTCATTCAACTAACAAGTTAATAAGGACATTTAATCTGAAATTATACATTTATGGATTTCCTTTAAATGCGAAGTCAAATAATAAAAATTTGTGAACACAGGTAAACATCACAATGTATTGCACCAAATATATTTCTTATGTAAATGGATTTGACTTGTACTATATACAGTATACCCACAAAGCTGTTATTAGAATTGCTAATTACAATATAAAATTGATTTGCTGTTTTTCCATGTAAAACATTTTGAGTCACACCATAATAATAAGAAACATAGATTTCCAGCCAAACTCTACAAAGTATAGTGTTTGTAATCTTCATCTTGCATTAGGATTTTCCCATGGATGGCTACCTGTTACCATTAGATTTTGAAAGGGTAATCTTTCGTGTTTAACATTTGCAGCATAAAGCGAGCTTTGAATCTCTTCTCTTATTGCTATTTTTGTTCTTTACTTCTATGGCCAGGGTAACAAAACAACTCATATTAAATCATACTTTGCATATTTGTTTTAGTATACTCATATATACAAGAAATGATTCAGTTGTTCTATTTTCATTTTTAAACAAATATATACCGGTATATATATATATATATATATTAAATAATTTTTTTACCAGTGTCAAAATGCACCTTTAATACAAACTCATCCAACCATCCATTAATCTATCCATCTACTGTTGATCTGTCTTTGAATGTGTAAAGTGTATGAAAAAGGGAAGCCCTGGTTTTCCACGACATTGTGGATACACCAAAGCAGGTAATTCTTTTTATTAATCCTCATTTTGGAATTCAAATACGTTGTCTATGTCTTTTGTGAATATTTAAAGCAGATTTGTCATTTTTAAGTATGGTTAAATTTTTTTATTAAGTTTTGAATATAAATCTTCCATTTCTATATGCAATGATGGAGAGATTTCCTGTTATTCTTTTAGACAACAAAATTAATACATAAAATGC